GTCAACCAAGGGTTGCTCCCCCCAAAAAAAAAAAAAAAAAAAAAAAAAAAAAAAAAAAAAAAAAAAAAAAAAAAAAAAAAATAAAAAAAAAAAAAAAAAAAAGACTATGTTTGAAGATTCAGGCTTCATTAAAAGACTGTTTTCAGACCTTTGTCTGAAAGATTTCAAATGCTGTACGTCATTTAAGTGCACTGTGTCCTGAAATGTTTATTACTTTTCATTTCAAAGAATTCACTGGTATATAACAGGTGACGTGACATAAGGCGAGTGTATGGCATATTCAGATCTAGTGCCTTATGTCAGAACACAGCGATATGTCATCACTACTGCCCATCCCAGCGGGAGCATGTCCTTGTGTGAGATGACACTGTGCTGGAGTGTGAAAGTCTTTGAACCTTTACCAAATCAGTTTGTTTTCCTGAGATTTGTCGAACAGTTGTAATTTGAGGATAATTACTTTTTAAAACTTTAATGACAGTTTTCTGTTTAAGTGTCCTGAACTCTAGTGCTTTACAACAGCTTTATTTATTTTTACTTTCATGCAATTTTTTTTACACATCTTTTGGTGGGTAAACGTCACCAGACCCGTTAACGAACCATTGGTTCTTTTTTAATGGCAAATTTCTCATTTAAGTTTGGATCTGGAAAGGATACGACTTCTAAAATAGCCACCGTTGGGCTTGAAAAGCTGAAGTTTCTAAAAGCACGTGTGGAAACCTGGTCTGCTGGACTGGACGCAGGCAGCGTTACGAGGGAACAGTGCCAGGAAGACGTCTGGTTTTTTCCTTGTGTATTAAAATGTAAAATCACGGTGTCTGTATGACTGCTGATGCGATTGTTTTTGTAACTCTGTTGTGGCATATGCAGTATTGTCATAAGGTTGAAGAGAAACAATGTTTCCCAATGTAAGTGCTCTGAAGATGTTGACACTGTATATATGAGTATAGTTTGGTTTTTTTTTTTTTGTTTTGGGGTTTTGTTTTGGTTTTTTTTTTTCAGATTGAAAAAAATAAATCTTACTATCTAACATTTTGTTATAGAAATCTTTAAAAGACCATGCATTTCAGCATATAATTAAAATTCTTCACACAGTGTCTCTCCTCTCAGATATTTCTCTCCAAATAAAGAACATGAATTCTCAGACATTTTTTTCCATCAGAAAAAATGATTTGACTCTTAAACTCTCTTTCCATTAAAGAGAACATATTGCATTAAAAATTGCCATGCAGATTTTCTTGTGCTTAGATATCAATTTTTTCAATCCCTAGTAGGCCAAATATGGGAGAGAGTGCGTGCATGTATATAAATGTGTTTTCCCCATAGGAATAGTGATTGTGACTTAGGCCAATGATAATACTTGAGAGAAAGGGGAAAAGTCACAAAGCTGCTAAAACGATGCAGTTCTGAAACTCAAAGCATCTCTTCTCAATCGGCCCCTTGTGTCACACACACGTGTGCACAGACTGCCCGGTGTATCAGGCACAGGCCGTGTATCTGCTGCTTCAGAAACGTTTGGGGCCACTTACGAAGAAACGTGTTCTCACTCTTCCCACGAGACGCACGCACATCCAGCGGGTCCCTGACCCTCTCGGAGTACCGAGGGTTTTGAGCTGTGCGGACATGTCAAGCGCCCCAGTGTTTGTTCGGAGACCTGTGTGTGTTGCCTCATCTGATGTCCGACTACCACTAACGCAGAAGGTCCCCTTCCCTTGTTTCCATCTAAGAGCATCTGTCCCCAGTTACAGTCAGTGTGCCGCTCGGTGTCCTGGGAATAAGGAAAAGTGGCACTTTAAGGCAGCCGAGTGAAAAGGGAAAAGCCCTGAGTGGAGGGAAGGAAGGAAGGCCACCTTGGACACCCTGCTGGATGAGCCTCAGGCGTTTGCCCTCATCACTGAAACCGAGCACATCAGAAACATTACACCTGTTCCAAAAATGGAGGGCATGCGTCCTGTTCTGGACCCTAATCTATAAGGAAAACGTACATTTACTGAACCGATAACATTCCTTATGACATTTTCTTGGAGAAACATCTGCGTGAACAGATCTCTCAAACCACTGGTTCTCAGCCAGGGGAAAAGTTTCCCTAGGGGACAGTTGGCAAAGTGGAGACATTTTTGGTTGTCACCGCTGGGGGTGGAGAGGGGGGCGTGTGCTACTGGCATCTGGTGGGTCCAGGCCACAGATGCTGCAAAACTCCCT